ATATGCTCAGTAGTTGCCTAATATTGTAGGTGGTAAGCCTGGCATCCTAGCATGTACAAAGGCATTCCATGTATATTTTTTCCTAAGACTGCCATGCACCAAACTATGGAGTGGAGGCCAGGTTAATTTGGCATTTTGTAACCCAGTAGACAGTTCCTGATGCAGAATGATTGGAGAGGCTCTAAATCATATGCATTAGATACCAATGTCATTCTTATAAGTCTACTTGCCTCCTTTGCTTGTATATCCCAAATCTCTGTGCTGACCCAAGGATCTTGCTTTGGTTGTGGTGACCCTTGTGAGTAAGTCATATTCTAAAGCCCTCCTCCTTAGCCTTACTTATTATAAGTAAAAATTTGTCTCACCAGCCACTCACTGCCCGACACTCAAACTTAATCTCCTTACTTGAGCATTAACATGATGAATTGTGATTGCTTGTTTATTCCGTAAGGCCCTGTAGGCAGGCACCTGTGATCAGCACACTGCTCTGCTGGTGGCGATACTCTAAACGCAGGCCCCTCCAGCCCTTGTGCCCAGCCTTCCTTTGCAGTGTCCGTTTCCCCTCACTCTGTCCTCTTCCCCACTCTCCCAGATACCCATCTTAGACCCCCCATTTTGGGGAGGACCTAAGTGATCTTCTTATCCCTCACAGGATTGTCTTCATTGTAAAACGGTACATTTGAAGACCGAAAAACCAAAAAACTAAAGGAAATGAATTTCTAATGTTGAAATTTCAGGCATTCTGACAAACAGCAAGGGAGATATTTGGGGGGTCAGAAGGCCTACTTGATGCTCTCTTATATCTTAATATGTCATTGACTCCCTAATTTACTCAACTATAAGGCTTTCCCTGCTGCCAGCCTCACTCTCACCCAGAAGCAACCTGACTTTCAGCAGGATTTTATCAACGCAAATCTCTTTACGGTATATATACATGTCCCAAAAGTCCTGCTGCAGTGTTAAACTTTAGTAACTTAAAATTGCAGTAAGATTTTGGATCATCCTGTGGGTGTAGATACATGTATATATATATGTATGTGTGTATATCTATGCCGATGTACACACATATACATCATTTATTTATTTTTATTGACATTCATTATTTCTTCCTCCCTCTGCCCCTCCAACAATAAAAAAAAAAGGGAAAAGAAAACACTCCCTCTTTCACGATGGCTGCATTTCACCTATTTGGACTGTTCAGGAATGGGTCTTTTGTTTGTCCTTTATTCTCAGAGAGGACCAGTGACATCACTACTCAATTCCAAAAGCCTTTATTTAGTGCCTTATGTGAGGAAGGCATTTTTGAGAGGTATCTGCCTCCTAATCAAGAGAAACCGAACAAATACATGCTTCTCATCACTAGTCTCACCACTATCTCCAGAGAGAACACCACCCCTTCAGGTTAGTTGGAGCTATCAGGATAATAGGGCAAGGAATAATGGGATGCCACAGATCCACTAAATCCCATGACCTCCTCTTTTTTACCAAGAGTTTTAAGGAATTGACTCATTGGTGCACTCATTCTTTGGTTTCTCTCTCCTACCACTTCTTTCTAAACTCAGAGATTCCACTATTCCACCACCTTAGCTTTGCCCATTGGAAAGGATGTGCTCTTTTTTCATATCCCTTTTCTTCTTCTGCACCCTCTTTTTTTTTTTTTTTTTGGTGTAAACCTATGACTTTATGGATATAAGGAATTCCCTGGTGAGGATTCCCTTTACCAATGCAGATCACAATTGTTCTGCAATATATAATCTTAGTTTTCTGGAGTGCTGGGAAATTAAGTGACTTTCCCAGCATCACACAGCCAATATATGGCAAAGTCATAATTTGAACCCAGGTCTTTCTGACTGCCTAGCCAGCTCTTTCCACTACATCAACCTGCCTCTTATCTCTTGGCTTGTTATCTGAAAATAGCACCTAATGTTTATTTTAGGGGTTTGAAGGCTTCTACTATTTAGCAAAATGTGTAGAGATATACAATGGGTTAAATTACATTGAAATGATATGAATTTTAGAAGCTTTAATAATTAACGTTGATCATGTAAGCATGTTTACTCAGGATTTAGGCTTTGTGCTAGATCTGCCTTTTTTGTTCAAATGACTCCTCACCTGGGGAGTCAATCAACTTATCCTATATAGTCCAGATATTAGCTCAGGTTGTCTATTTCTAGCCCATAAACTTAGCTTGGTAAACCTTATTAGAGAGTTGTAGAATATTTTATGTGATTTTAAAAAAATCTGAACTTAACAAATTCCAAATAAAATGAGTGTTCCCTTGGGAAAAAAGAGAGGGCTGTATAGGGAACTGTGAGTCCATTATGTATCACTTGTGTTCTTAAAAAATATATAATAAATTCAACATAAAACTTTCAAAGTTGTCTTTGCTTCCTGCAATTCTTTATGGCCTTCTTTCTGTTCTCTTCTGCAAATTAGTAAAATATTCTAGTAACTCTTCTTTCTTTTTGGCTACCCTATCCCTATTACCCTTTTCCTTGAATCACACTTGGTAGTGTGCTGGTAAATGTTTAACAACTAGCTCTCCTGAAAAAAAAAATCACACACCACATACTTTTAAGTTCAATTTGCATTATTGTTTTCTCTGTCACTTTCTTATGTCAATCAACAAAATAATAAACCAAGTCTTAACCTGAAGTTTGCCTATCTCTGGGGTATAAATGCTCATATTTAAAATTTAACAATCAGCTCCCACAAGCCAATTTGAGCTGGCTCTACTATACCCTTAAGACCACAATCTAATCCCCATGAAAAAGAAAAAGAAAAAAAACAACCACAGAGGATTATATTTAAAGAAGGTACTACATAGATTATCTAGTCTAATTTCATTTTACAGATAAGGAAACTGAGGTACAGGGAAATGAAATAATTTGCCCAGACAAGTAAATAGCAGAGCTGGAGTTTTAACCCAGGTGCAAATTCATTGCCCTTTTCATTATGCTACACTGATTTCTCAAATATTTATACTAAAATCAGCTTCTCTAATAATTCAATCAATCTATAATCATTTAATAAATATCTACTATGTGTCAGGCATTGCACTAGGAAGTGGAGATACAAAGATAATGAAATAACTGTCCTCAAAAAGTTTACATTCTATAGAGAAAGACAATGTGTCACATAAAAGTATATATAAATTATGTAAAAAAAATTATAAGGTAATGAGGAGAGGTACTCATGGTAGGGAACGGAGTCAGAAAACTTTGAAGAAAATTGAGGATTTTTAAATAGAGGTGAGGAAGGAAAGTATTTCAGGCTTGGGGAACAGCCTGTAAAAGGCGCAGAAAATGGAGATCAAGTGTCATGTGTAAGGGAGAATGTGCAGTATAGGGAGAGAAGTAATATATAATAAGGGTGGAAAGGCAGGCTGGAGCCAGGCTGCAAAAGGCTTTAAATGTCAAAGAGAGTGGTCTGCATTTAATCCTAGAGGTAGAAGGAAATAACTGGACCTCATAGTGCAGAAGAGTGGGAGACATGGTTAGACCCATGCTTTGGAAATGCTTACTTTGGCAGCTGTGCAGAGGATGGGTCAGAGGAGGTCTTTCACCCTTAATTCTAGTGTGGGAGCCTCACTTTGGGGGCAGACCCCTATTTCCCTCTCATTGGATTCCATTCTCTGCAGAGAATAAGTCTTTGGACTTATAAAAATGTACACTTGCCTACTTCACCCTAGACTTTTTGGCTCTGGCCCTCTAGTCTTGTCTTCCTGCTGCTGCTGCTGCTGCTGCTACTACTACTACTACTACTACTACTTATACTACTACTACTACTACTACTACTACTACTACTACTACTACTACTACTACTACTACTACTATCTCCTAGATAGCATTTATATAGTGCATTAAGGTATTCAAAGTACTTTACAAGTTATCTCTCATAACAACCCTGTGAGGCAAATGTTATTATCCCCATTTAACAAATGAGAAAACTGAGGCAGAGAGAGGTTAAGTGTGTCTGAGGCAGAATTCTAATTCTGGTCTTCTTGATTTTAAGTTCAGTACTTTAGGAAAGTCCTTTAAATGCTCTTTATCTCTTTCAAAACTCAAAAAAAATTTTTTTCCTCCTGGGTTTCAGACCTCCTGTTCCAACTTGGTATCCATCCACCTACCTCTCTTCTCTTCGCCTTTGACCCATCCTCCTCTCTGTTGGTTATCCTGAAGTCAACTTCTCAGCCCAATTGTAGCCATTTGGCCTTAGCCATTGTTATAGACTCTCTTTCTGCATCTTTGGTCCCGGACTAACCTGAGACTCCCATCTCTCTTCACAAAGGCTACATAGTCTAAGGCACAAAGCTAGATCTCCATGGTCCCTTTCCCCGGTCCCCTGGCACACCTCTTTGGCTCCAATCTCACTGGCAGCACTGACAACAGACAAACCTTGGAACCAGTGAACATTAGGACACCTGTTCCTGTGGATAGACAGTTCTGGTTGCAACTGCCTTCCTACTTTAAGACCCCAGAGTCCCAGCAAGTGCTTCATTAGAGTCCAGGCTGACAATCAGAGCAGTTTGTTAAATATCTAGTAAATAATAGTCCCTCATTCCCTCTTCCCCAATTAAAGGTAGGGAATAGCATCACAATCTAAAATAAGGTTAAAAGTAATCATTGGAGTGAGCCTAAGGTAGTTAGAACACCAACACTTTCCCTCAGGTCTGGAAAGGTTGAAAATAATATGAGCTTCCTGGACTTTAAGCGTATGCCCTAAGCAGTGAACTAGTTACGAAAAGCTAAGACCCTAGTTGATAAAGAGAATCTTATCTCAGTATACATCCCCTTTCCCTCATTCTCTACATCAGAATGATGTCCAAAGGTTCCTAATCAGCAAACATGCCATTTGGTTTTATTCTCCCTGTGCTTCAGGTTGGTTTTCTACATGCCCTGGGGGACTAGGTGAAAGGGAGGTGAAGAGATTGAGGCGAAACAGGGAGGGTTAAAGAGCAGCTGCTTAATAAACCAGGAGCAAGTGTTTCTGATTGGCTTTGAGGAGATGGATACTTTGTCTACATAAACTGGCAACTGCATCCTCTGTGTTTCTTAACTGTCATCGAGGAGCAAAGAGAGAGGGGCAGAGGAAAGGAGAATTTGCCTGCCTGACTGTAAGTACCATTCTTTATCCATTAGTTTGGGTGGATAAAGTCAAGAGATGCATGCCTGGATTAATGCCTCAGTTTGATTCTTAGATAGCCTTGCTAATTGATTCTTAACTGTCAAATCTATTGCTCATTATGTCTTACAAGAGGAGGAAAGGAAAACATTGATTACTATAGTTTTGCATCCTTTATAAATTTCAGTTTCAGTCATTTACCTCTGTATATTATAGAAATCGTCCAAGTAGTTTTGAGAAGGCATATTTGTATTCTGAGAATTTAGCATCTCTGTACACACTGAGTTCTGATTCCTAAGAAATGGAAGTTTGACAACTAAATGTGCTTAATAATAAAAAAAAAACCTTTCGAATGTATTTTTTAAAAATAAGAACTTAAAGGAAAAAAAAAACTTATGTCTTCCAGAACAAACCAAGTATGTGGAAATATTTTGCTACCAAAAGATTATTTATTGGCAGGTCTGTGCCAAATAATTAAGTATTACATAGGCTAAAAGATAAGAAAACAAAGCAATGAAAATTCTATGTAGAGAACGCATGATCACATAGTTTACAGTTATCAGAGAGACTGGTCTTCAGTGCTTTCCAAGTGAAATTCAAATTGGTTAATCTGGGTCATTCCCTTAATCAGATTTCTTTTTAGCTCCATTGAGAAAGCATGGGGTCCTATGATCTCCCTCATACCTTGCTGCTCTAAGTAAGTAGTAATTCATCACAAAAATAGAAACTGCAAAGAAAATGGACACGTGTTCTCCTTTAATGCTTTGGATGCCTCCCATAGAAATACCTGCTTTTCTCCATCAGTTTTAGATTTTGTTACCTCTTGGGGGAGTGTGCAGTGATTGTTGGGGAGTTGTTTCATGTGGTTTGGGTTCACTGGAAAACATGCTCAGCCATGCTCAGCCCTGTTGGGCTTCCCTTTAAAGCGATGGGGATTCCTGTTGGCTATGTTTCCATTTGTATTTTTTGCAAACAAAGTCTTTGATCTAGACCTTATCATCTTACTAACTGCATTATCTATTTCTTTTTCCATCTGGGCCAACAGTCATCATTTCTTTTTGCATAACCAATTTAGCTAAATTCAGTAAAAAAACAAAAACAAAAATCTATAGAACTCTATAAAATAACTGGGGTGTACAGTTGCTGTTGTTGAGTTTTTTCTATCCCTTACATGACGCCTAAATAATTGGTCTGACTAAATTGCTTGACACCCTTTATATTCAGTGAGGCAGCACTGGGAAAATGAGATGTCATTAGATATTTGCCAATCAAGAGCTTGAGGTTTTCCTCAGATAGCTCACACTTATGTAGGATTTTGAGTTTTATAAAATACACTTTTACATTAAATTAAAAATCACTGGATTTAGAATCAATGGATCTGGGCTCAAATCCTGCCTTTGTCACTTCTGAGGTTACCTTAAGTGAGTCAATTAACCTTGCTTGGCTTCAGTTTCCTCATCTGTAAAAAATGAGGTTAAATTTTGTGGCTTTGAAGATCTCTTCTAATTTTGCATTGATGATCCTAACTCCATGAGTTAAAAATTTTTCTTCTTTAGCAAATAGAGCAAAGCCAGAGTTTCTCTTGTGTGAAATCAGAACATCAAACAGAAGCATGTTACTCTTTTTTTCTCAGTAAACATCAATTCACCATCAAAATATAAACCACAAATAGAATAGGTACTTGATAAACATACAAGTTCTTTACAATGTCCCTAGGTGATCACAACTTTCTCTTAGAGATCTCAACTGAGGAGAAATCCACTGTCACCAAGGCCGCCCATTTAGCTTTTGAATACCTTTCATTGTTAGGAAGTTCTTCCTTACATCTAGCCAAAATCTGCCTCTCTGAAACTTGTACCCTTTGCTCAAAATGATTCCTGGTGAGACGAAGTAGAAAACTTAGGGCTAATCCTTCTTTCACATGATGATCTTTTCGATATTCTCTTCATGAATTCTCCCCTACTCCCAAATTCATTTTAGGTTACTGTTCAAGAAACTTACAGAGATAGGGGAAGCCATACTCTAAGTTGTAGGCATATACTGAAAAATTATACCCCAGAGACACATATAGCATGCATAGGCAAGCAAAACAGAACAAAAATAAATAAACAAAAAGATTCAGAGTTAAAGGGAAAGTAACAAGAACATCCCTTGGGAAGCTATAATCGTTTGTTCTTGCCCTGCATCAGGTCAGAGGGTTTGGAGCTGGAAGAAACATCAGATATTTACTCTAACCTCCTAATTTTATACTTGAGGGAACCGAGATACATAGAGAGGTTGATTCATTCAATATTATGCAGGTAGTAATGAAGCAGAGCCACAATTCCAATCCAGATCTTCTGGCTTCAAACCCAATGCTCTTCTTATTACATTACTTCGAGGCTCCCCATGGTTGGCTTGGTTGTAGGAACAAGCCTCAGGGGACAGAGCAGAGTCCCTGGCTAAATGAGGGCAGACCAGAGAGAGGGTCAAGGGAACCAGAGGTAAAATTTTTCCTGACTTTTCCTTCCACTAGGTAGTGCACAATACTAGCTGACCCTGGTGGCCAAACGACAGTAGCTAATATTTGCCTTTAGGCAGGGTCCTCACTGATCTGAACTTGTAGAGATGTGGGAAAATTCTACAAGCCAGATGGGATGAGGGCTCAGGAGAGAGTCAAACAGAGGAAGGAGATGCTCCCATCTACCTCAGGGCTCACTCACCTGGACTGGGACAAATCTTGGAGTAAGGCTATTAGATTTATCCAGCACCTAACCTAATGTTTAAATAAGCACCCAATAAACCTCACTAATTGATTTCCTGGTTGAATTATGCTGTAGCATATTAGGGTGCTGTGATACCCAACTCAGACCTGGGCAAAACACTTCACCTTCCTTTGCCTCAGTTTCCTCATTTGTAATATGGGGATAATGATACCTACCTCACAGGGTTGTTATGAAGTTCAAATGAGATAATGGAAGGAAAGCCCTTTGCAATCTCCTTAAGGAACCATTTAAATGCCAGCAATACCTCCTTCCTGATACCTAAGAACAGGGTTGCATGAGAGTGAAGAGTCAGGATTGTGATTTGACATTCCTCTTTTCCTGTCCCTTTCGGGAAGCCATGGATGGCCATCTTTATCACAGCCTGTTCTTCCCAGTGCCGGCAGTGAATCCAGGTAACTGTGTTGGCTTGTATTAATTGAATTTGTTGGAGAATACCATATGGCAACCAAGTGAAACATTTGCATACAAGTCTTGTAGAGAGCCTGAAGAGTTCCTTATTTTTGAAATGTGGAAATTTAAAATATAAGTTACCTAGCAACCCTCTGGTTACTAGGCAGCTGGGCAGGGCTGGTCAATGGAAGTGATAGCAATGTCCTATAGAATAATGAAAAGTTCACGATTGGCTTAGGAGTCAATATTTACTATTAAACCCATTCATGAAAAAAAAATGAGACTCACAGAAGTGTGTGGCAAAATCTATAAATTAAATGAACAACAGCAGGTGCCATGGATTAGTAAATAATAAAGGACACATCTTTTTTGTTGTTGGACCAGACCTACAATTTAATTACTATGGGGAACTCCAGATGAGAAAAGTCCCTCTACCAATACAAATTGACAGCTGCTCTGAAATCTATAGTATAACTGAGTTGCCTGGGACCCTGAAATGTTCAGTGACTTATCTAGGGTCACCTAGTCAGTATGCATTAGTTATAGATCTTCAACATATGTCTTCTTGACTTTGAAGCATCTTTCTATGCACTACCCCATGCTGTCCCTCTGATGTATTCAGAATACCTCAACTCTTCAAAGGGAGCAGACAACTAGAATTGACTCTAGATGTCTTGAATCTATAAAAGAAGGAGATGGGGGTATACTATGCCAAACTCTACAAGTATTTTAATTCAAGAGTTTTGGGGAAAGGGGGAACCAAAGGGAAATTACTCTTGAAACAAGAGAAATATTATAAAACAAAAGTGAAATCCTTTAACTATAGAATGATAGCATTCAAAGAAACCTCAGATATTAGCTAGCCTCCATTTTCCAGGTAAGTGAGGTTTGGAGAGGTTAAAGTGACTTGGCCGAGGTCAGAGAATGAGGTATGAGCAGAGTCAAGAGGAGAACCCAGGTGTCCTGATCTTCCCCCAGTCACCAGCCCAGTGCTTCTTCATGGATATAGTATGAATGATGAAGGTGAAATGATAATAGAATTTGCTGATATATGATTAAAAATTCCTTGATTGGCACAGAGGAAAAAAATTATCATTAAAAGCAAACTTGAACGGATACATTCTCTATTTGCTTTGCTTTTACTTTATTATTGATTTAATATTTTAAATCATCTTGATTTCTAAATATATCCCTTCTCCTTCTTTACCCAGCAAGGCATTCTTTGTAAGAAAGAATAAAAAAGGTCCGGTCTGCTGAGACTTCAACAAGAGAAGTGTTCTAGCTAGATATGGTACCCTTGAGAGATAGTCTGATGGAGAGGGAAATGAATACTAGATTTGGAGTCAGAAGACTTGAATCCAAGTCCCAACTTGAATCCAAAAATCACTTCTGCTGTTCACCAGCCACGTGACTTTGAAAGAGTCACAATTATTCTGTACCTCAGTTATGCAGCCTTGTACTTCAAACAATGCACTTCCCAGGGTTATTATAAGGGAAGTACCGAGAATTGTTATTTTCGTATCAAAACATGGCTCAGCAGTGAGGGTGTTCTGTGTTGTATGATCGCTTGACTAACTTAGGGGGTTGTTGCTGTTGTGGCCACATTGGGTAGCAGTGTGCTATATTTCTACGTTTCAGATGAGATTCCCAATGTTGAAACATTTACAGTCTTGTAAAAGGTAATGTAAAAGGTCCTGATTTAGAGCTGGAAGGATCTTAGAGACCATCTGGTCCAAATTCCTTCATTTTACAGAGAGGGAAACTGAGGCTCTGAGAATTAAGATACTTGCTCAGAGTCAAACATATAGGAAGGATCACAGACAGAATTTGAAACTATGTCTTTCTGGCTCAAAACCCAGAACTCTATCCATTAAGCCACATTCTGTTCTGATTTTCTGAGCAATAGACCAGTTAGTTTATTGAATCCCTACCTCATCTTCCATGATGATATTTCAAAACTTTCCCCTTTCCTCAAGGCCCAAAATGTACCCTAGGCCTATACCTGAAGGAAATAATCTAGTCTCTTCCTTCACTAATATATTGGGACCTTCTCCTTTGAGTTCTCTTAGCTCCTATTCTCCCATCCCTAACAACTCAGCAGCGTCATCCATTTTCTTCTTTTCCCTGGTCACACACGAAGAGCGTTCCCTACTTCTTGCTAAAACTGATCCTTTCGCCTATGCCCTTGACCCAGCAATGTGTTGGTAAAACATTAAACAACTGACTCTCTCGGGGGTGGGGGAAATGTATGCATGACACACTTTTAAGTTTAATCTGCATAATCGACATTTTTTGCATCTCTTCCTAGACAATCAACAAAACAATAAATCAAACTCCTTTGTAGTTTGCTGATTTCCAAGGTAAAAATACTCACACTAAAAAACTGACAGTCAGCTCTTATGAGTCAGCTGCAGCACCTCGCTGCCTTGATCCTATCCATATTCATCCTCTCCTCCCCCAGGACCTTGCCCAATCAACCATGGCTCATAGGGATCTGGAGTTGGGAGTGACATTTCAGAGGTGTTCTTAACTATTTGTGTGTGTGTCATAGACCCCTTAGGCCATCTAGTGAAACTTATGGCTCCTTGTCACAATAAATGTTCTTAAGTACATAAAACAAAATACATAGGACTACAAAGGAAGCCAATTAAAATACTTATCAAAATATTTTTTAAAATTCACAGACCTCAGAACCCCCATTATAGAGCTAAACCCATCATTTTACAAACATCCTCAGTAAACTGTAAACTCTAAAATGTGGGCAGTCAACTGAGTCCCACAAAGATGCAAAGATTTGTCAGTGGTCACTCAGGTCAAAAACAATGGGGCTAGGATTTGTATCTAGGTCCCTGATGCCAAATACTGTGCTTCTTTTATACCTTGGTGCTTCCTCTCATGTATCTGTCCCCTCTCTCTAACCACTGGCTCCTTTCCATTTGCTTATAAGCATGGCTGGATTTCTCTCTCCTCCTGTTCACTGTCAAACTTCTAGAAAACATTGTCTACTTATCTATAAGCAATCCACCCTCTTCTTTACTGTCCAGTCTTTCTGCACCCTGTTGCAATATGGCTTTTGCTCCTCTCATTCTCAAAGGTCACAGCTTGGCATTAGAGAAGGATCTCACACTGGTTCTGGAAGCCAAGGACTTGGGCTCAGATCCCACCTCTGACACTTTTGTAACCCTGGGCTAGGTGGGGCAGGGAGGAAGAGAATAAGCTGAGCAGAATTTAGAAGAATAATTTATATAATAATTACAATATTATGGAGGAAAACAACTTTGAAAAACTTTAGAACTCTTTTTGCTCAATTCAGTGATAAACCATGAGTCCAAAAGAATAAAGATGAAATGTGAAGTGGCACCTTAGCATTACTTGAAAATTACTTTGTAAATCATGAAAATGCTACATGTGTCCATTATCAATACAATGATATGCTTCATGATATAATTATGAATATAATAGTAGCTGGCATATATATAGCACTTTAAGAAATGTTGAAAAATTAAAATGAAAAGACAGTGGCTTAAATGGGGTTGTCCTTAAACCTGGGTTCCATTTGTAGTCTCCTTCTATCAAATCCATTCAAAGGTCACAGCGCAGACTTCAAAAATTATTTCACACGGCCCTGTTCCATCATAAGAACAGGGAGTACTAAATGTTCAGGAGGCAACTAACCTCAGAAGCCACGTTAGGATGCTTCCACACTCATCTCCCTTCATGATGCTCTTCCCTTATCTACCACTTTTCCTGCTCCTTAATGTCCACGTATCTATAGATGTTCCACAACATGCATTTTTTGGCCATTCCATCATACTAACTCTTTAAATGTGTAACATATCATAATATGTCAGATGAGGATGATCACTAGAGTTTATAGACTGTATCTCTGCAATGTATTTACGTAGACCCTTGGCAGTATTCTGTTGGGAGCTCTTCAAATTTCTATTATCATTCAGAGCTCTACTCAAATGCTACTTCCCACATGAGGCCTTTCCACATGGTCCCATCTACTTGTGTCCCCATTCTCTTTACTTTATATTTATTTTTATAGATTTTCATATGCACATATTTTCCCCAAAAGAATGTAAACTCTTTGAAGGCAGGGACTCTTTCAGTTTAATCTTTTGGGTGCCCATTGTCTAGTATAGTATCTGGTTCATTTCATTATTGGTTAAGATTTGCAGAGTGTGTTACATTTATGATCTCATTTGTTCCTGGCAGGTAGACATGGAAAGTATTATTATTCCCATTTTATAGAGGAGGAAACTGAGGCTCAAAAAAGCTAAGTGACTTTGCCAGAGTCATTCAACTAGTAGGTGTCAGAGGCAGGTGACTCTGTTCCAAGTCTAGAAGCTTCCATTATGGAATAAGAAGTGTTGAAAAGATCTTTTGAAATTTTCAAGTAAAAGAGAAAGAGCCACTTGAGGTTGGCTGAAATTTTAGGCCTGGTTGTCACACATAGTTTAAATTAGGGCTTCTTAACTTGGTGTTCACAAATCTTCAAGGTATCTATGGATAGATTTCAGGGGATCTATGAACTTGGATGGGAACTGTTATTTCCATACAGTTTCCTATGAAATCTTATATATTTTATTTTGTGCATTTAAAATGCATTATTCAGAGATGGGGTCTATGGATTTCAGCAGACATTGCCCAAGGGGTCCATAACATGAAAAAAAAATTGAGGAATCCCCAGTCTAACTGGTAATCCTAGATAGACACAGCTGGAAAGACAGTGCATTAGAACACTCATTCCAATAACCTACATAGCATTTATTTAAACAGCAGAATTGCACTTCCATTTCTAACAACCCTGATCAAATTATGTAAAGCAATCACTCCTTAAAGGGCTTGGACAGTGTAACCAATAGTACTTATCTTAGTTTACATCTGTTAGCCAATATTTGCCCAGCTTGGGGGCTTAAAGCATCAAACAACTACATAATGAATATAAGGCCTGCTGTGTGTTTGCACTTCAAGCCTTATAAAGGTTTAGTGGGGTGTGATCTGCAGAAAAGAGGATAATTTGAAAGGAAAAATAAGCCCTCTTCTTATACCTTGATTGGTAGTGTTTCTTCTCTGGAGCAAATTGGTAGGGACAGCTGGCTTGTTTCAGTAGTATTTTATATTAGCAGGGCATTGTTAGTGCTTTCTCCCTCTAGAAATGACTTCTTATTGCCTTTTATTCATTTTGGTTTTGCTTATTTGTGTACATATTATGGCCTTCAGTAGAATATAAGCTCCTTGAAGTCTGAGACTACCTTATTTTTTGTCTTTATCTGCAGCACCTAGGACAGTGCCTGACACAGGGGAAAGGGAATATGCATTTATATAACCCCTGCCACGGTAACAGGCGCTGTCTTAAGCACTTTACAGATATTACCTTATTTTATAAAATATGCATACTTTTAATCCAGATATGCTACTACCAGGCCTATACCCCCAAATAAATAAAAAGGGGAATATTATGTATACAAAAATATTTCTATCAATTATTTTCAAGGTAGCCCCAACCTAAAACTAAAAGGATATCCTCCCATTGGGGAATGGCTAAACTTTTTTTTACTATATTAATATAATGGAATATTATTATTTCATAAGAAATTTTCAATGTACAGTTTCAGAGGAAACTGGAAAGACCCCTGTGAAATGATGCAGATCTAGGTAAGCAGAACTAGGAGAACATTTAATACAATAACAACACATTATAAAGGAAAACAACTTTGAAAAACTTTAGAACTCTCTCTGATCAATGCAACGATAAGCCATATTAAGTAGATAATAAATAAGTAGATCATTATGGATAAATGATAATTGAATTATTAAAGTTAGTCATGTTATCACGTATCATAGAAATAGACTGAAGAAATATTCTCTTGTGTCCATTTAAACGATGGAAGCAGCCGAATACCCCCAAAACTAAGTAACTTGTTCCATTTTGCACAGCAAGTTAATAAGAGAATTTAGGTTTGCTCCAAGGAGTCTGCTTGATCCTTAGTTTCACCTCTGAAAAGACCAAAAAAAAAGTATGGGGGAGGGAAAGGAGTTAAAATGTACCAACATATATACTTGGTGTGGCTGTTTTAATCTCTTTTTAAACTCCAGAAACCCTGCTCCAGAAATTATTCTGATCAGGAGAATTCCAGATGAGGAAACAACACACACATGTAGCATGATTATCTTTGTGTGAGATGGACATTATCTTCAGTTCAGTCTTGCTCTTCATGGTCAGAAACAAGAGAAGTGTGCTAAGCTCAGAGTCCTATGTGGCCCCAGCGGGACTGATTATCCCGCCCAAGTTTGCACCTATTATCAGCTTGTTTTGAGATTGTTCCATTTTCAAAACTGTAATGCTATTTTTAAAATTTGTAAAGAAGGCCAGCATGGTTCAGAAGGAAGAGTAATGGGGCTTGAGCTCAGATTTGGGTTAGAATTCTGGCTTGGGCAGTTCTGAGTTGTGTGTACCTCTCTGAGCTCCAGTCTCTTTATCTGTAAAATTAGTATAATAATATTTGTACTGCTCACCTCACAGGATTGCAAATAAAATGCTTTGTCAGACCTTGAAGTGCTGTACAAATGTGCTACACACTTAAATATATTTTTCCCCTGTCTCTCTCTTTCTCTGTTTAGGGTTGACACTGACATTGGAACTATATTCACCATGAATGCTGCTGAATTCCGAAAGAGAGGGAAAGAAATGGTGGATTATGTGGCAGACTATATGGAGGGAGTTCATAAACGTCAGGTCTATCCAGGTGTGGAGCCAGGCTATCTGAGACCCCTGATTCCTGACTCTGCTCCCCAGGAACCAGAAACATTTGAAGATATCATTAAGGATGTTGAGAAGATAATCATGCCAGGGGTAATGACTACATTCTGGAAATTTTTTAAAAAACAAAATCAACAAAACGTGTGTCCTAAAGCATATTAGTACTGTGATTTTTTTCAATTCAATTAACATTTTTTTGGTACTTACTAGGTGCTAGGTGAGAGGTAGTTTGGGCACAATGGATAGAGGGAAGGTAAACTAATCAGTTTGGGTTCAAGCCCTCTCTCTCACATGTACTGGCTATGTGTGAGCAAGTCCTTTAATGGCTCAGTGCCCCAGGCAACTTCTAAAGATTAATTTTCAGAACAGTTGTCTTACTACATTGATAGAGAACATTTCCTGACCAGCCATTCCCTATGCCAATGAAATCATAGATCTGTCCCCGAAATGAGGAAAAAAAATTGTGTAAGGCATTGCAATTACCTTCATTCAGTGAATTACCCTAATGGAGGTCCTTGGGATGCTTGAGACTTGGGGTCAAGGAATATTGAATGTCTCACACTATACATACATACATACATACACACATACATACATACATAATACATACACACATATATGGTAAGTGGTGATGAGGACTTGAAATAGGATGGTTGTCCTGTGTGCAGAGACAGGGGAACAGATAAGAAAGATATTGTGAAGGTTAAATCTCTTACCTTTTGTGTCTTTGTACGTGTTCTCTACTATACTGGAATGTTCTCCCTCTATTTCTTAGAATCTAAAGCTTCCTTTGAGGTTCACCTCAAGTGATACCTTCTATAAGAGGCCTTGCCTGATCCCCAATGTTTTTTGCGATCTTCCCCCTGCACACACACACACACATACACATACCCCAAATTATTTTTTCTATATTTTGTATTAGCTTGTCTTAATAAATTGTTTTTCTCACTGTAGAATATAAATTCCCTGAAGTCAGGGATTTTTGTCTCTTATCTATAGCTGCTAGCTTAGTGTTAGGTACATGTTAGTTGCTTAACCAATGTTTACAAAATAGAATTGAATCAGCAATTATTTTATAATTTATAATCTTAGAATTACCTGGGAACAGTGAGAGGTAATATGATTTGCTTATGGTGAGACAGCCAATGTGTAGCAGAGACAAGACCTTAACCAAGTCTTCCTAATTCCAAAGTTAGTCCTCTGTTCAATATACCATGCAACATTGCTGCCTCATAGTATGTGTCAGTCAACAAGCATTTATATGTGTAGTTGTGTATATTTATATGTGGCAAGTGTGCCAATTTATTTTACAGATAAAAAATAGAGGAAAGAAGAGAAAATACTTGTCAGTAAAATATGTGACCTTGGACCCTTAAATCTCTGGGTTCAGCTTTTTCATTTGTAAAATTAGGGTTTGAATAATAATAAATTGAATAAATATATAAATAATAACCTTCATGGTTCCTTCCAGCTTGATAGTCTATGATCTTGGGAATGACTGATTCTAGGGAAAATTAATTGGCTAAAGATAATGAGAGCTGTTTTCACCTTTGTGGTTAAGAGGAATCAGTATTAACATAAAAGGAATCAATCCCATATCTGATATCACTTGGGATTAAGAAGTGAGGGATCCATTTCTCCCTATATTTCTTCAGGATAGATGAATTTTTTTTAATCAGTCATTGATGCATTACAGAAATTGTTTGTTCATGGAGGAGATGCAAGAAGAAAAGGAGGGGAAAATTTGCAGTATGAGAACATGGGATCTGAAAAGAAACAGACTTCCATTTTCTGGAGACAACTTTTAGTAACTTCACTTCCATCCCAATATATTAACATTTAAATCTAGAATTGTACATAAAGTAATTTTGCCTGTCAAATAATTTGAAGAATATAAGTTAATTAACTTAGTTTGTGGCTCTCTATACAGATTAATTTGATGGTTATATAATTCCCTGAAATTCTGTGATTTCTTTATAGTAGGCATTCATGTTAGTCATAGATTGAACTGGATGGCTACTCAGATACCTTCCAACTCTGAAATTTTGTGATTCTGTGATTTTTGTAATGAAAGGTTTAGTGGACTAAGAGCTAGAAAACCTGGGTCCTAGTCTTGTCTCTATTACAAACTAGCTGTGTGACTTGGAGCAAGTCACTTTACCAGTCTGGGGCTCCGTTGTCTTATTTATGAAATGAGGAGGTTGCAATAGATGACTTTATAGGTCCCTTCCAGAATGAGTGAATCTGTTGTGATTGTGACTTTATCAGTCAAATCACACCAAACAGTCCAATCTGTTTGTGGGCATTGATAGTCATGCCGGCCAACTAACAAGGAATACATTCATTCTTGTTTCTGGCTATTTCTGAAAGACAGCAAAACTGGCTGAGAAATCCATTAGTTATTTGGTCAACTAGCAGGCACTATGCTAGGCACTGGGGATGTAAAATAGGAAGGATGCCAACCCTGCCCTGAAGGAACTTTCATTCCACTCGATATTTATGACTTTAAATAACTGGTTTTATTGATTTATTTTTCACTAAATTTAACATAATATCTGGCTATTTGGGAACCATGAGTAGATAAGAGATGTTGGAAAGTTTATTCTATATATATTAGATTCAACTCAGATAAGTCTTCCCCCTAAATGCCATTTAAGAACAAGTCATATGTATAGAGCACTTTACAAAATACTTTTTTTCCCATTTTAATTCTGAACTTAACAAACATCAAGTAAATGAGCACTTTACACAAATTGGTTTTCTCACAACAACTCTGTAAGATGATTAGTAAAATTATCATTCTTTCCATTTTACAGATAAAAAAATAAATTTCAGAGAAATTAGGCAGCTTGCCTAGCATTTTATATTCAATAAATATCAAGATTCAAACCAATTCCTTGTTTTACAGATGAAGAAATTAAAGCCCTGAGATTTTGAAAGATTTAATTAGTGACTATTACTGATATAACTCTGAGCCATTATAGAATTTGGGCAATACATCATCACATAGGTCTTCAGTGAAAAGGCTGATACTAGAGCCCAAATATTCAAATTCTCAGGCTGGTGCTTTTTTTCATTTCAGCAAAGATCAAATCATATCAGTCTGCTTTGGGGTTAGAGGCAGGAAGGGAGAACTCTTGTAGTTTCTTTTTTAAAAAACAGATTTCCATTTGACATTTTTGCTTTTGGATGAGCATGTTGAGTGTTTTCTCTAAGAGCTTATGTACATAGACTAAGCTTCTTAGCAACAAAATCTATTTGAGGGAAAGTATATGGTTAAATATCAGATAGGAAGGGGAATGAGCAAGACAAAGCCTTTTCCTTTTTATACAGTTGGATGTAAAGTCTTGTCTTGTTTGGCTAGCTGAAACAGACTGAACTTTCAGCAAATCCAATATTTTTGGTGTATTTGGCTCTTCTTTTTATACTACCATGCTTAAGTCACTGTGGATGATTCATTGAAAGCTAGTACAATGGCTAGTTCCTTAGCTTCCAGGTTTATGCCCCACTGCTCTGTCCAAGTGCTGATTCCCTTTCTCATTACTGAGGCAAGCCTCAAGTCACTCCCCCTGTAACTGATCCTCCACTCAGCTGCCAAAGTGCAGATGTAACCATATCACACACATCCCCCCCCATCAAATAAATTCTAGTGGCTCCCTATTACTTACATGAAATCTGGTTTGAAATTTAAAGTCTTTCCTAACTTTGTCCCTTCTAGTCTTCTAATACTTTACTCCCATCTACACAATGACCAATGATCCAGTTAAACTAGGCTATTAATGATTCCTCATATGTGACACTGTTTGTCACCTTTATACTTTGCCTTGGTTTGTCCTCCATGCCTGGATGATCTCCTTCCTAACTCCCAACCTTTAGTTTCCCTGGCTTCCTTCAAGAGTCAGCTCAAATATCACTTTTTTTTTTTGAGAGGCAATTGAGGTTAAATGACTTGCTTAGTGTCACACAGCTACTAAGTGTTATGTGTCTGAGGCTGGATTTGAACTCAGGTCCTCCTGAATCCAGGGCTGGTACCCTATCCACTGCACCACCTAGCTGCCTCCAAATATCACTTTCTGCAGGAAGTCTTTTAGTGTCGCTGCTAGAGTCTCCCTTTCTGATATTACATTCCAACTACTTTGCATATACTATCTTAAATGTATTTAGTTATCTACATTATGTCTCTCCTTTTAGAAAATAAGTTCCTTGGAAGTAGGGAGCATTTTCCTCTTCTTTGTATCCCCAGCATCATTAAAATTCCTGACCCATAGTAAATGCTTAATAAATGCTTGTTGACTGACAACTTTAAAATCTTTAACCATTTCCCTGATAGGCCAACTCAGTTTTAATTCTCAACAGTTAATTTTATCAAATGAGTTTGCATCCCCAGCAGTATTAAACTACATGGTATAAATACATTTTGGAGGTTGAATACTGGGTTTGAATTCCAACTTTTCCATTTCTTATCTGTGTGACCTCTGGCAATTTACTTAAATCTGTAGTTCTCAATTTTTGCAATTCTCCTTGAAGAGGATGGACTGCATAAGCTCTAATGTCTTTTCCAGCTCTGTATACGATGTTCCTAATATTTATTGCTTTGTGCTGCTTTTCTTTTGAGTTTATCTCTTGTGTCTTCACTTAAATTTAAGATACTTGAGTGCAGGGACTATGTCTTATTTATCTTTTTATTCCCCACAGTGCCTTGTAAATAGCAAACAAGCAATAAATACAAACTGATAGATTAGACAAGAACATAACCTGTTTCTACTAGTATAAAAACAACCCAAAGTTCATACCTACTGAGGCTATGTTATTAGTATTTTCTTGGCTTTACAGTCTCGTGGGTTTGTGTGTGTGTGTGTGTGTGTGTGTGTGTGTGTGTGTGTGTATGTGCGAACATGTGAGGGATCTGTGATTTTGTCAGCATGGTGACCTCATGGTGGCAGAATTCAACCTGTATATGATAAAACCTAGGTACTTACTTGAGGCCTAAAGAGGTTAGGTGACTTGCCCAGGGTCACAGAGCTGTAAGAGGTGGGATCTGAACCAATGTCTTCCTGATTCCAATCCCTATGCACCAACACCTCCCTTCTCCTTTGCTCTCTCTGTCCTTGGCAAATTAACAAAATGAACATTTTCATATACATTGCAGATAACAGAAGAAGATTGCACATGAAACTGCAAATCTTCATTACATACAGCTTGTTTTTCTTTTTGAGAATATTAAAAATTCAACATGTAATTTTCAAAATTGCAACTTACTCTTCGAAATTCCTTCTAGTCTTACTTCTGTTCTCATCTCTTTGGGAGGAGGGAGGGGTAAAACCCTCCCCCTTCCTCCAATCTATTTTGCACATCACTGTCCAATTAGTCTTGCTCATGTACAACTCTTATCAAAACAGTCTCATACTCAAAACTTTCCAATGCTTCACCATAACCTAATGAAAAAAGTCTAAATCCTTTCCTAAGCCTAATATTCAAGGTCCTTCATGATCTGGCACACTCTACTTTTCCAGGCTTGTCATACCTAATTCCCCACCATGTCTTCTTTACTTTAGCCATCCTCTATTACTGACTATCTCTCAAATGAAACAATATAAAGTATTGGATTTGGATAAGAGGACTTGAGTTCAAATTTGGCCTACTAAGTTCACTACGTGTGTCACCTTGGGCAAGTCATTTAAACTCTTTGGGCCTCAGTTTTCTCAACTATAACATAAGGGAGTTGGACTTGATGCCCTTCAAAGAATTCAAACCCAGGTCTTATGTCTCTAGACCTTTGTATAATGTCATGTCTTCTGGGTGCCTAAAAGAAGCATCACCCACACCTGGGTGTTCAACCTGCCATAGTCACTTTCAACTGTTTCATGCAATATTTGACTCTCTCTACCACCCCTCCCCCACTTCAGTCCATTCTATTCATTACAACCTGATTGATCATGACACTCCATTATTTACAAAACTTTCAGTGGTTGATGTTAGCTAACAAAGTCTGAACCTTATAGGAATATAGATTTAGAGTTGGAAGCCACCTTAGAAGGCAGTTAGTCCAACTTTCTCATTTTGCAGATTAGAAACAGAGGGCAAAAAAAAAATTAACTCATCCAAGGTCTCATAGCTTGTAAATGTCTGAGGCAAGATTTGAATCCAGGTCTTCTTGACTGCAAGTCCACTATGCCAGGCTGTCTCCATAGTATTCAAACTTCCCTAACTCCAGATGATTTGTGCTAAAGACGATAAGGGCTAAGTTGAAGAGAAAGATTCCTTCCAGTAAGCATGCCCAGGGAAGACATCACAGAGGGAATGAGCAAAGGCGGCCAAAGGATATCAAGGGAGAATGAGTAGATCCACTTAATTAGAATACATGGAATGTATTTTGAGATTGGGCTCTAAAGCAGGGTCTTTCTGTGGTCTCAGCTCTGAGTGCCAGGCTAAAGAGTGTGGACTTTATTAGGTAGGTAATAAGGAGTCATTGAAGGGCTTTGAGCACAGCAATGAGACATTCAAGCTGTTGCTTGGGAAGATTAATCTTCTGGCACTGTGCAAGACTAGTTGGAGTCACGTAATACTTAGAAGTTTTGCTTATAAAATGCAAGTAAAATTCATAAGTAAATTATCTTGTAAAGCATACATTTTCCTTATGTAGTAGAACTCCTTAACAATGCAGGTTTTAAGGGACAGGACTAGGACCCAACTCAAATGCTATCTCTTTCCTTATTCATGTAGTTGTTAATTCCCCATTGCCCATGAGATCACTTTCTGTTTATCTCAGATGTAACTTATATTGTTTATCTCTGAAAATGAAAATTTATCTCTAAAAATTATTTATTTCTGAAAAATACACAGACTATCTCACTTTGTATTTGTACCCCCAATGTTTAGCAGTATCTGGCACATTGTAGAATCCTAATAAAGACTCATTTTGATTGATTTAATTGATTTGTTGGAGAGAATAAACAATAGGTAAAGAAACAAGGTAGGAGGCTTTTTCAATGGTCTAGGAGAGAAGTGCTAAGATCCCAAACCAGCGTACTTGTAAGTGGTAATGCAAAAGACATAACAACAATAATTTGTTCAGTCATTTTTCAGTCATGTGTGATCTTTGTGACCCCATCTTGGATTTTCTTGGCAGAGATACTGAAGTGATTTACCATTTCTTTCTCCAGCTCATTTTCCAGATGACGAACTGAGGCAAACAGGGTTAAGTGACTTGCTCAGGGTCACACAGCTAGTACATATCTGAAGGCAGATTTGAACTTAGGAAGATGAGTCTTCCTGAGTACATGCCCAGCACGATATCCACTGTGCCTCCTAATGTTACATATATAATACACACACACACACACACACACACACACACACACACACGCTCACTTTATCTTCACGACAACTCTATGAGGAAAGTGTGACCCACTATCCCCATTTTATACATGAGATAACTAAGGCTGAAAGAAGTTGAAGTGATCTTCCCAGAGTTACACAACTAGGTTGACCCAAATAAACAGAAAATCTGGTTTTAAGTTGCTCTTGCTTGAACTGATCACAATTTAATTGGTCCTTTTCCTCCCCTGCAGGTAACTCATTGGCACAGTCCCTACTTCTTTGCTTATTTCCCCACAGCCAGCTCATATCCAGCAATGCTGGCCGACATACTATCAGGTGCGATAGGCTGCATTGGCTTTTCCTGGGTAAGTACATTTCTGACTAATTAGTGTCTATGCTATGTTGGATATAGCTCTCAGTCCAAATGAGAGGGCGCTAGCTGCTTTCCTTTAACAGTGCATTTAAAAAAATGATAAATTCTATTTTTACTTTACTTAAGTAGACCTTGGAACGTCACCAAGTCACTGTGCTCACGCTCTGTGTCATGGGGCTGTAAAATCATATGGAAGAGGGATTCTTAAGTTGGAGTACATTGAGCCCTTCTCTATGGATAGATTTGAGAGGTCCTGTGAATTTTGGATAAGAAAAACATTACATTTTTATCTCAATATAGTTGGTTTCCTTTATGGAATTATATATTTTACTTTAAGTACTTAAAAACATTATTCTGAGAAAGAATCCATAGGTTTCACCAGATTGCTAAAGGGCAACATGAGTCAAAAAGGGTTAAGAATCTGTGCCTTAGAGCCAAGTCCTTTTCCTACTTCTGTAAACCTCCTTCAATGCAGTTCAAAGGCCTAGCCAACTAAGAGTGAATTGGATTCTACAACACACAGCTATATGGGTTTTTTTTTTCCCCAGAGAACACTTTACTACCAATTTTACTGCTATTTTTGTAATGCAAAATATTGCTTGATACGTGCATTAGATAGGTACAGAAAAAAAGCATTATGTACAGTACATCGTGGGTGATTGATACTAATAGGAGACACCAGGAAGACTTGAAGAAGTGACATTTCATATGGGCTTTACAGACTGGGTGGTAGTTCAACAGGGCCAAGGGATAAAAGGAGGATATTTTAGTCAAAGGGTGAAGAAAGGTATGGAAGAAGGAAAATACAGAGTACATTTAGGGAACAGAGTGTAGCTAAATTTGGCTGAGCATAGAGTATGTGAGGAAAGCAATTTGTTGTAAGACTGGAAAGGGAGAGGGATGCTAACCCTTGAAAAGCCCTGAATGCTGGGCAAAGGATTCCATTCTTGCTCTCTGGCTGTCAGTAGGAAGAAAGATTTTATAGGAAATGCAAGTTTATTTAGATGTGGTTCTTTTCCTTAAGCAGAGAAAATCCCTTTGTTAACTTGGAAACCAAGCAAAGTGACTGATCAGACCAGCTTCTTTCTCATCCCTCTTGCGTGTATATATTCTTTCTTTCCCCTTCTATGTAAAGTCTTTGGAACTGAAGGGTAGGACATCAGATTATTTCCCAGTTAAAAAGTCTCATCTGTAAGACTGGGGTGTGGATTGATAATATTAGAATAATGGGAAAAGCAAGATAGAAAATGGGTTTTTTATCTTTTTTAAAAATTTAAACAATACTTCAATGAGAAAAATAGGGATATAAATTATTGAACAGTGTTCTTCACAAATTTACAAATGACTTACTAGATTTCTGGTTAATGCTTTCCTCTCTTATCATAATAGATTGCAAGTCCCGCTTGCACAGAGCTGGAGACGGTGATGTTGGATTGGCTGGGGAAGATGATTAATCTGCCAGAAGCGTTTCTAGCTGGAAAAGATGGAGAAGGTGGAGGAGTGATTCAGGTACGGTGAAGGTGGGATGTTATAACTGTCTGGGTTGCATGATTCTATTCTAGACTTGTGGTTTTTCAAGGTGGAAAAAGAGGCATTAATTTTCTGGAACACTGCCCCTTTTTTGTGCTAGAAAATCAACAAAAATCAATAAGGCATATAATGATAACACCTAAATATGCTGTCATTCATATACAGAGTTGACACAACTGGATCACCATAAGATTAGACATCTTCGTGTTGTTTCTACAATAGTGAGAAATATTGCATTGGTATCACTGGACTCAACTGAATGATCTCTTTTTGCAATCAATCAATATTAAAATAATATATAGCTATAAAAACTTTGTGGGCAGCTATGGGGCACAGTGGATAGCATGCCAGGCCTGGAGTCAGGAAGACCTGAGTTCAAATCTAGCCTCAGACAGTTACTAGTTGTGTGACCCTGGCAAGACACTTAACCTCTGTTTGCCTCAGGTCTTCACCTGTAAAATGAAGACAATAATAGCACCCACCTAGGGGTATTGTGATGATTAGATGCTATAATAATCATAAAGCTCCCAGCACAGCGCCTCCCAAGACCTTCCTTTATAGTGAACTTGGATTTTTTTTAAATTTCTTTTTCTTTCTTTCTTTTTTTTTTTTAGCTAACTTCATTTACCATCAGATGCTCTGCTTGGCTTCAATTCCACAAATATCATGCCCCCTCACTGAGTGCTTTCTGGTAGAACCCTTTACCCCATTTTGTGAATTATATTCCCCCATTAGATCATAAGCTCCTTGAGGGCAGGGACTTTCTTTTTCTTACTCGTATCCCCATAGTACTTAGTAATGTGCCTGTCAAACAGTAGACACTTAATAAATACTTATTGACCATTGACTGCACCTTAGTTTCCTCATGTAAAATAAGGGGGTTAGATGAGACCATTTTTAGAATTCTTTCCAGCTGCAATTCTATGATCCTTGGTGGTTCTATGGCCTTATTATCAGGCATGAAGATGGTCTCAAGAAAAGATCCTTTCCTTTGACATAGCCAGGAAAGAGATCAACTCATTACTTTGAGAAACACACTCTTAATGCAGGAAGATATTTTTTACCTGATAATTCAGGAAGAATCAATCGGTCAAGCCATCTATCTAGTTAATAGGATATGTATATCCAAGGAACCAGAAAACAAAATATAATTCAAACTTGACCAATGAACAAGACATTGATCATATAGGAGTATTAATTTTTCTGAATACCACCAGAGAAACTCATGGTTGCTTTTTATCATTTCCTGGGATTAGAACTCTTAGAGGAATAAATACTATTCAAGGTTGCATGTTTCAAAAATCACTTACATCTGAATGAAAGATAGCATGGTACCTTGGAAAGACTAATGGATTTAGTTTGAGGACTTAGGTTCAAATCTCCCATCTCTGGCTTTCTACTTGTGTGACCCTGGCCAAATCACTTAACCTTACTGGTCCTGTTTCCTCATCTGTAAAATCAGGAAGTTAAAATAAATTACCTGTAAGATTCCTTAAAGCTTAAAAGCTAGATCCTCTGAATATTTCACTTCCTTGGGCTAAGAAGACAGCATGCATAGAATAGTGGAGAGAGTGCTAAACCAAGCTGTTATTATTAGGTCCTTGTTGGGAACAATGTTGGGTACGTGTCAGTCTGTTGATTTTAAGCCTAAGCTTAAAAATGGTCTTCACCATGGGCCTGAGCCGCTCTATTTTTGTCCAATGAAATCAAGCAATTAGCCTATTTGTCAGCAGGAAATCTCACCCTTCCAAGCTGACAGGGCTAATTGTCTGCAATTTGCAAGACCTAAAAGAAGGCCCAAGTTTGGGGACAGATAGTGGGATACTGTGCTCCTGCATCTGATGTGACAGTTTGAGATGTCGATTCCCATCAAAATGGCAATAACAGCTAGCACACAGCAGAGTAAAGACATAGGAATGGGGGTTGGGGGGAAGACAGACAGTCATCCCTGAGTCAAATACCAAACAATAATTGTGGTTTTGGACAAATGAGGTCTGGGAAAATTGGCTCTTAATTGTGTTTGAAAGCCTGCATTCAGATGTGAAGCCAATTTTCTGCTATGTGTGAGATGACACTTGAAAAACCAGAAGATGAAAGAAAATTTGAGTTCAGAGAATCAGCAGATGTGAGCATCAGATCTCACCAATATTTCCTTATGCCTCTTGAGTCCTGCTCACCATGGCAACCCTTGTTTGGCAGTAATAAAGGCAAACGTATCATTACTGATCTCTTAGCATACAGAATCGCTTCCCCCCTTAACTCTCAAAGACTGGTTTTCAATAATGGAACTCCTCTTCACACACACACACACACACACACACACACACACACACACACACACACACACACTATTCGAGTTTGTTCAAACTGGATGTATTATATGCCTTTGATATTTTCTTCTTGTGCTGTTGGAAACTTGCTCAGCTGTGTGTGCATCTGCGTGTTTTAAGTAATCTTTCTTTCTTAAAGAAGGAGGATTTTCCTTCATGAAGTTGACAGAATCCAAAGGGAAAATCCATAGTGAATTGGCATAATGATCCAAAGCCCTCCATCAGAATTTGCTTAAGAGTTCACTGGGGAATTAGAGAAGGGAAAAGCATTTACTTACTGGAAGGTTTAAAACAAAGATTTTCAGTGAACAAAGGGTCACCGTCATGTGGGAGACGAGAATGATTCTATGATAATCTGAACACTGAGGGACATTAATTTGGTTTTCTTTCCCCCCATTATTCCTTCACCTTTTCTCCACCCTTTTTTGTCCTACTTACCATTTATTTGTTTTTCAATGTTCTTTCAGCAACTCATCTCTCATTCATCTTTTCATAGTCTTCTTCCTTCTGCCTGCCCTTTGTTTCTTGAAATTTGATTTTAAGATAAAGCTTTATTGATTCCATTCCCTGCCCCCAACTATACCCAACATATGGCCCTTGGAGTCATCCTTCTTTTGAGAGCACAAGTGTGTTTCGGTCCCTCTCTCCCCAACCAAGATTGGTATCACAATTAAACTTTCCGTGGGTTTTTTGTGTCTTCATTTACTTCACTGTAACAATTGTTCTATATTGTTCGCCTTCCTCCTTTCCTGTCTCTCCTTTACCCCACTAACTCTCTGTCCAGTTGGAGTTTGAGGCCAATGGTTGAGAGTAATCTATACCTGCTTTACTACTTGGCTCCAGGGCTGTCCTGTTAATTGTGTCCTACTCAGAAATATGGGGACAAGAGGGTCATATAGAACACAAGAGACCCATCTTGTTTATTTATCAGATATTCTAGTAATTTTTTTTCCTTCTCTATGTTCTCAAGATGACTTGTAGAAGCAGAGAGGACACAGTAATTCTCTTACTCCTTCCCTCATACACACATTAGATTTTGTTTAAAAGTAGATGTGGTCCTCTGGACTTGAGGCAGGAAGGTCTGTGTTCAAATACTACCTCAGACACTTACTAGCTGTATGACCATAGGCAAGTCACTAAACCTCTCTATACCTGAGTTTCCTCTTCTTTAGAATGAGAGAGTTGGATTTGATGGCTGCTAAGGCCTCTTCCAGCTCTAAATCTGTGCTTTTGATGAAATTCTAGCTTTATCTTCTTCCATTTCTGGTCTCTTCACTTAATCTCTCTCTCTCTCTCTTTTTTTAACTACAGGGAAGTGCCAGTGAAGCTACTTTGGTTACCCTACTTGCCGCTAGAACCAAAGTGATTCGGGAGCTACAGGCCAAGTGTCCAGGACTGACAAAGGCAGCCATCATGGACAAGCTGGTGGCCTATGCATCTGATCAAGTGAGTCCACTGTGTAGGCTGCAGCCCCTGCCAATAAACACTGAATAAAACAAGGCAAAACACAGCAAAAAAAAAAAAATCACCTGAGGTGACAACCTTATATATTGAAAAGATCATAACTCCAGAGTTGAAAAGACCTTCAGAGCCATCTGGTCCAGCTCCTTTATTTTGTGGATGAGAAAACTGAGGTCCAGATGAAGTGACTTGCTCAAATCTGCCCAGCTGATGAGTGGCAGAGCTGTAATTTAACTCAGGCTCTTGGAAGCTAGGTTCAGCCCTCTTTCAGGTAGAATGGAACTCCATGAAATCCCATGATAGAATTTAAGCTACTTGAGGGAAAAGGCATTTTTCATTTTTGTCTTTGTGTCCTCAGTGCCTAGCACAATGCTTGGCACATTGCAAACACTTACTGTTTGTTGATTGATTTAAAAGAACATCTGATTTGGATTTAGAGGGGTCTGGAGGGGCTGGCTTCCAGTTTCAGCTCTGCTACTTAGTACCGATGTTACCTTTGGTGAATTATTTCTCTTATCTGGTCCCTCCCTCAGGAGATAGCCTATATCAGTGGTGTCAAAATCAAATAGAAATGGATCCCAGAAGCATATTGACTTGGAAAATTACAAGTTAACATTATCTATGTTGTATTATATCCTAATTTATTTTGTTAAACATTTTTCCCAATTATATTTAAATCTAGTTTGGGCCCATGAAGGATTTCCTCTGAGTTTAAGGTTTCTTCCAACTCTAGATCCTTTGATCTATGACGTATGTACCCCTAAGAAGGAAGGAACTCTTACTTGGTACCTCAAAAGGTCAAATTAAAAAATGAAACAGAAACCCTTGAAGATCTTTAATATTCTATTCATAAGTACTTAGTCTGGAATTGTTAGGCTATTGAATATTTTGGTGATGAGATGTTTGCTTCAAATTCTTCATATTAGGAAACATGCTTCTATGTGGTGATCTATTTTGTATGTTAGTTAATAATAATAATAGCTAACATTTATATAGAGCTTATTATAGTGCCAGGCACTATGCCATTTACAATTATTATCTTATTTGATCCTTACCATGACCCTGGGAGGTACTGTGCTAAGCATTGGGGATACAAAGGAAAACAATAGTACCTACCTTCAAGGAGCTTACATTCTAATGGGGGAAATAGCATACACACAAAGAAATTTAGTGAACCAAGTGACCAGCTGATACTCAATAAATATTAGTTGTCATTAAAGAAAAGATGGATTGATTCCTCCAATTCCTCATTACTGGTACTCATTTCTTAAAATGTTAAAATGTAAATTTTTTTAAGTGTTAAAAACAAAAACTTAAAATGTTCATTAAATCCAAGTTTGAAGAGTAACACTTGCAAGCTAATTTTTGGCAGGCAAGTGTGACAACTCACATCCATATAATGCTGACCTTGTTTCTAGAAAGCTGAGAAAATGCAGCTTATAGCCCAGTTGGGAATTCTCCCGAATTCACAAGTTTATGAAATGCAGTCACTTAATATGAAAGCAAATAACATAGACTTTTACCCTTAGTTTCTAATAATTCTAATTCCACTAAAGGGAAAGTAATGACTTCATTTTCCCCCATAAATATAATTTAATTTTTCAAACATCATTTGATTGATGTTTTCTTTAATTTAGTACATTCATCTGTGCAGTGCCAATCAATCAAAAATCGTTTAACGAGAGACTATTATGTGCTGGGCACTGAGAAAGATAAAAATGCAATGGGCCCTGCTCTCATGCTTCCTACATTCTATCAATAGTATCAGAGTAGAATGCTTGAAATTTTTAAACAAAATAAAAAGAAATAAACTAGATACCTTCTATCTAAGTTATAATTCTTGGGAATATCTTGGGAATGTCTTCCTCCCTTTTCCCCTCCTTCCCTCTCTTCTTCCTTTCCTTCCTTCCTTCCTTCCTTCCTTCCTTCCTTCCTTCCTTCCTTCCTTCCTTCCTCCTTCCTTCCTTTTCCTCCCTCCTCCCTCCTCCTTCCTTGCTTCCTTCCTTCCTTCTTTCCTTCCTTCCTTCCTTCCTTCCTTCCTTCCTTCCTTCCTTCCTCCCTCCCTCCCTCCTTCCTTGCTTCCTTCCTTCCTTCCTTCCTTCCTTCCTTCCTTCCTTCCTTCCCTCCTTCTTCCTTCCTCCCTCCCTTTCCTCCTTCCTTCCTTCTTTCCTCCCTCCCTTCCTTCCCTTCCCTTTTCTTTCCTTCCCTTGCTTTCTCTTTCCTCCCTTCTCCTTTCTTCTCCCCTGATCAGAGTCTCATCCCAAGACCAAAAGTTAAAAGACTGAGCCCTTAGCTAGGCATCTAACACAGATGACACAGACAAGTGGCAATTCCAAGGGACAATTTAATATTTTCCCTCAGAAAGAAACTAATAGTTGCCAGATAGATTATACAATTCTCTGGTTAGTTAGGCAGAAAACAAGAAGGTAGAAAAATTCTATTCTTGAAGAAGGAGTAATGTGTTCAGGTTCACGCCATGTGGAACCTTGGGTGAGAGTCTCTGGTTCATGTATTAAGGTCCTCCCTGTTCTTTGCTGACTGATTGGAAATGGAGAATGACAGCACATGATGTTTAATGAAGGTCAGAGGATTTTCCCTCTGCTAGAAAGCTTTGCCTTAAGCTGTTATTGACCTTTCAAAGTCTATCCATATAGCTCTTGCCTTTCTCTCTGCTTTATACCCAACACCTCCCAGTTTAGTAATCCTGAGATAAATTAAAGAGCTTATGTGGAAGTGAAAGGACAGCAGCTTAGTGGGAACCACAGGACTGGCATGAGTGTTGCTGTGGGAGAGAAGACCTATTGAATTCATTTCATCTTATTTATAAATAGAAGATGTGGGAGAAATTCTGGACTGGAGTAGACTTTTGTCACTGCATGTTTTTTCTTGGTATCAGATCACATAAAATATTGATGTTTTCCAAGAGCTAGAAAAAGAAAATAGGAGATTCTTTTATCTGTGCTCATGGAGAGAAATGATGTGTTCAGGCATCATTAAAAATTATGCATATTCCAAGAAATATTTGCATGATATATGTCATGTGGATGATTATAAAATAATAAGATTTATTCTTTTTAAAAAACAAACAGCATAAAACTAACTCACATTTATGTAGCACTTCCTATATATTGAGTATGATTATGCATAAGGTATGGTGAGTTTTTAACATTTCATTGGATATAACCAAATTACACCCCTCAAAACAAAACATGCAATGGAGCATAGAGCATAGAAAATTGGCTTTGAAATCAAAACAACCTAGGTTCAAATCCCTCCTTTGAGGCATAATGCCTGTGTGACCCTAGGAAAGTCATTTACCCTTTCAATGTCCCAAATCTCTAAGTCTCTAAGTTGCATACGAGGGGCAATTTGATGATGCAGTGGAACTGACTGGAGTCAGTTAGACCAGTACATATCCAGCCTCAGACACTTTCTAACTGTATGACTCTGGGTAAGTCACTTAACCTCTGTCTGCCTCAATTTCCTCATGTGTAAAATGAGGGTAATAATAGCAACTACCTCCCAGGGTTATGGTGAGGATAAAATAAGAATATTTAAAAATTTCTTTGTAGTATTCAAGCATTATATAAATGCTAGCTATTCTTCTTCATCACCATCATCTTCTTCTTCTTCTTTCTTCTTTCATATCTGCCAGGGATTTGCTTACTGGGATTTCCCTACGACAATGAAACTTCAGGCTATATCAAAACAAACCTGCAAACAAAAATCTCTCCAAAAAAATATCACCATATTACCACTCTACCCACAGGCTACACCTTATCAATTCAGTAACCATTCATGCCACTTAAAGCACTGTGGTAACCCCTTTGGTTTGAGCCCCCTATCTCAAACTGTACTGCCTACCTGGAGTATAGCCCCCAGTCCCCTATACTGCAAGGAGGGATTAAAAGTATCAGAGTTTCTATTTATAAAGTGAGGAAACTGAGGCTTAGTGGAATCAAGTGACTTTCTTAGGATCACACAGGTAATAAGTGGCATAGCTCAAGCTTGAACCTAAGAATTCTGGTTTTCAGTCCTGAGTGCATTCCAATCTGTCATGCCTTCTTATAAATAAATACTGTCAGTCAAAAGCCAAATGCTTTGGAAGATGATTCCAATAATGCTGCTGGTGCTCAAAACATCTTAAGATCCTTGGTCTAGAGCTAAGCTGGAAGGGACTTAGAGTCCATCAGTCCCAGGGGTATTTATTAACCTAAAACCTGTGATCTCTTTTTTTAAAAAAATATTTTGATAACTGTATTTCAATATAGTTGTTTTCCTTCATGATCCCACATATTTTATTTTATGCATTTAAAAACATTATCCTGAGAAAAGGTACATAGGCTTTGCCAGATTGCCAAAGGGGTAAATGACACATAAAAGATTGAAGTCCAACCTTCTCATTGTATAGATCAGGAAACTTATCCATGGAGGATAAGTGATTTCTCCAAGGTCACATAGGTGGTAAGGGTCAGAGGCAAGGTTTGAACTCAGCTCCTGGGAATCTAGCACCAGAGTTCTTTCCACTCAGGCGCCACTTTTTTGAAATTACCATCGAGACCAGTTTATAGGGGAATGGACTAAGTATCTCTATGATTTTGTCAGTGTGGATCTCCCTCCACCAAACAAATCACACGGTCCCCATGATGTCTTAGGAAAATACCTTCAGTACATGGAGATCCTATGACTTGTTCAGGGTTATACAACTATTAAGTTGTGGAGGCCAGATCTGAACCCAGGGCCTGCCTCCTGACTCCAAGTGCAACAACCTACCGATGATAACATATTGACTTTAGAACTTGTTTATAAGCCACAATAAAAGAGTCTTATTAGATTATAGTCACTTTTTGTTTCTGACACCAGAACAGTTCAGGCATGTCTTGTGACCCCATTTGGAGTTTTCTTGACAAAGATGCCGTTTCCTTCTCCAGCTCATTTTACAGATGTTGAAACTGAGGCAAACAGGGTTAAGTGACTTGCCCAAGGTCACATAGCTAGTAAGTGTCTGAGATCAGATTTGAACTCAGGTTTTCCTGACTCCAGGCCTGCTCTACCCAGTGCACCATTGAGCTGCTCCACCAGAACAGGGTTATCTGCATTTATCATCTACTTTGTTCAACAAACTTGAATCCAAGTGACTTCTGACTACTTTCAAAAATCAAATCTATATTCTGAAGAGGAACACAATAGAGTGGAAAGATCTTTAAATTTGGAGTCAAAAGATCTGGGTTCCAATCATGATTCAGCCACTTAAATCTGGGCAAGTCACTGAACTTTCTGGGGGCTCAGTTCCTACATCTGTAAAATTAGGTATTTGGAATAGATAACCCCCAAGGCTTCTTCCAGGCATGCAAATCCTATAAATCTCAACCCTACAAAATTTGTCATTTTGGAAGATATTAAAAAAATATTTACTGTAGATTCTGAAGTCAATTTCAAAAGAGGCCTAGAGTTGTACAGTATAAAGATTCCTGAATGTGAAATTGGACAACCTGGGTTCAAATCTTAGCTTTGCCACTTAAGAGTTGTATCACTCTTGGCAAGTCATTGAACTCTCTGGGCCTCAGTTTCCTTATCTGTAAAATGAAAGGGTTGGATTAGATATGGACTCTTCTGTCCCTTCTGGCTTTAAATTTTTGATTCTATAAATTGTCACATTTTTCTCCTTTCTCTGGCTCTTTGCACAGGTCACTCTCATTCAATTCAATTCAATTCAATTCAATGAACAATTATTAAGCACTTACTTACTATGTGCCAGGCACTGTGCTGAGGGCTAGGGAATACAAAAAGAGGCAAAAGATAGCCCCTGCCCTCATGGAACTTGTTGGAATATACCCTTTCCACACCTCTGCCTCTTAGAATTTCTAGTTTCCTTCAATTCTCAGTTTAAGTGCAGCCTTTCATGGTTTACATTCCCCACTCCCATTATTAACTTTTTATTTACTTTACATGCATTTTGTATTCATCTGTTTTTCCTCTGACTAGAATGTAAGCTCCTTGAAGGCAGGGACAATTTTTGTTTGTGTCTTTGTGTCCTCTGTGCCGAGCGTCATGTCTGATTCTTCATGACCTCCTTTAGGGTTTTCTTGGCAAAGATACTGGAGTGGTTTGCTATTTCCTTCTCCAGCTCATTTTACAGAAGAGGAAACTGAGGCAAACAGGATCAAGTGACTTGTCCAGAATCTCACAGCTAGCAAGTGTCCGAGGCCTGATAAATATTAGGCACTTAATAAATACTTGAATGAATAAGGAATTGAAAGCAAGATATAACATGGAAAAGCTCAGTACAATTGAAACATCATTGAAGACAGAGATGTTACCAGGGTATAGGAAGGAACAGCCCTTTTAATATTCAAAATGAATGGTATGCTTTGCAACTGGGAACTTGGTAGGATCATGCATTTAGAATGGACACATTCTGTTGTCAGATGCAGCCTAATCATATTTGAAAAGAGATCTTGGTTATCCTAAGTTAAGTTTAATGTTTTCATTCCAGTCGCACTCATCAGTGGAAAGGGCTGGATTAATTGGCGGCGTGAAGTTAAAAATGCTCCCTACAGATGACAAATTTTCTCTACGAGGTTCAGCCCTACAGAAGGTGCTGGATGAAGACAAAGCTGCTGGCCTCATCCCATTCTTTGTAAGTTATAATATAGATGAGTCATGTGCTTTGAATTGTCAGTTGTGGCCTTGAATCTTATGGCCTTTGTGAGTTATAATGACAGAAGGGCTTTAGTCATGGGCCCATTTATATACTGTATATCTGGTATCTGAGGACCAACTGAACTAAGTTCAGAGAAGCTCAGAACCAGGTTAGCCAAAGGGTGGTTTATCTTTCTTTTCTTTTCTTTTCTTTTCTTTTCTTTTCTTTTCTTTTCTTTTCTTTTCTTTTCTTTTCTTTTCTCTTCTCTTCTCTTCTCTTCTCTTCTCTTCTCTTCTCTTCTCTTCTCTTCTCTTCTCTTCTTTTCGCATGTCTCAAAAGACAATTGCTAGGGATTGTGATCTGTATTGGTGGAGGGAGGGTCTGCATTGATCATGGGATTCTTAAAATATTAAATTGTAAATTGTGGCATTGTAAATTGTGCACTTTGAATTAATTTGAGGGGGAAGTATTACTAGACAGCAGCTCTTATGAAACCATATTTGGGAGTTTTCGTGAGTTCAATGAGAGGCCACAGTGAGACAAAACCAAACAGGTTCTTATGATCATAGAGTGGAAAGAGACCCCAAAGGCACATTTGGTCCAACCTTTTTAGTTTATAGATGAGGAAACTGAGGCCCAGGGAAGGTATGTGATTTGGCCAAGGTTATGTAGGTAGTAAGTATTAAAAGGAGAATTCAAACTCAGCTCCTGTGAGTATCTTTTTGTTTTGTGAATGTCTTGATTTGTTATAGAGTATGAAGTCAAAACTGTAAAGCAAAATTTTATAAATTTTAAGGCACTGTGTATATAAAGTCTGTTATTATACTTTCTTGGTCTGGGCTATAATTTCATCTGTGTAGGGAACTCCCAGAGTGAAAGTTTTTTTCAATCAAGGCACAACACCAACTCATATTTAATATTACAGTTTTAAGAGAGTTGTCTGAGGTGCTCAGAGACTAAGTGATTTGTCCATGGTTACACTGCTAGTATGTATCATGTGGACTTGAACCCAGATCTTTCTGACCCCAAAGAGCAACCACTATCCCTCATTATTGTTGTTATGAATGAAAACAGGCAGTCAGTGCTACAAGAGGGGGCAGGGAAAGGGAGTGAGAGAGGAGACAGAGAGACACACACAGAGAAGGCCTAGAGAGACAGAGAGAGAAAAGAAGAAGGAGGAGGAGGAGAAAAAAAGAAGAAAAAGAAGAAGAAAAAGAAGTGGAGGAGGAAGAGAGAGGGAAGGGGAGAGAAAAAGAAAGGAGAAGGAAGAAGAGATAGGGAAGCAGAAAGACGATGAGGAGAGAGACAGAGACAGAGAGACAGAGAGAGCACAGCAATGAGGTCTAGGGTATTCAGAGAAAGTGGCAGAGACAGAACCTGAATTAATGTTGAAGGGTAGCATCTAGATAACCAGGGTAAGGGATGATGATTCCACGAATGCATATAAGCAAAAACTGACAAGTGGGAATAAGCAAGGTGTGTTCAGAAAACAAGAGCAGACTAATTGGGTAGCAGCAGAAGGCTGATGTTTGGTAGTGGGAGAATAGGTTAGAAAGATAGTTTGATGCCCTATAAAGGAGGACCCTGATTGACAGTGTACGAAATTTGGATTTCATTCTGTAAGTACTAGTGAGCCATTGAAAATTTTAAGTTAGTGACATGACCAAAGTCGCACTGAGGAAGACTAATCTGGGTGCAGCGTTCTGGATGAAGCAGAGGAGAGACACTTCAAGGCACTAGACACAAAGATTTTGGAAGTAAGGAGATGAATCAGGAGACTATTGTGTAGCTTTTCTTACAGCAGTATTTGAAAGTGGAGTTGATTCTGTGCTACTCAAGTATGATCTATACAAAGTTTTATTTTTTTAATTAAAATTTTTTAAATAAAATTTTAAAATTTCTCTCTCTCTGTCTCTCTCCTCAACGTCTGTTTCTCCTTCCCTATCTCTTCTTCCTTCTCCTTTTTTTCGCTCCCCTTCCTTCTCTCTTCCTCCTCTACTTCTTCTTCTTCTTCTTCTTCTTCTTCTTCTTCTTCTTCTTCTTCTTCTTCTTCTTCTTCTTCTTCTTCTTCTTCTTCTTCTTCTCCTTCTTCTTCTTCTTCTCTTTCTCCTCCTCCTTCTTTTAAATTGAAATTACTTATGTAATTTCACTGGTGTGGGGAACTTCCCAGTGTGGAAACTCCTTTTCTTGGTGTAGATCAGCAACGTTTCTGCATCTCGTAGCTGCAGAGTTGGCAGGGGCCATCTAGAGGTTGAGTGATATGCCCATGGTCACACGGTATGGGTGAGAGATACAGCCTGAAGTCAGGCTCTCCTAACTCACAGCTGGTCTTGTATCCACATTATTGGACCCTTTCATGTACAAATTTTAATAATACCCTTCTAATTCTGGATGTGCAAAGGAAAGATCAAACTTTATGCTTTAGATTCAATGACAGGGTTACAAAGAGGGCCTTCATTTTATTTTCATCCTTTTTGTTTCTGTAGCTTTGAAATGAAGCATCTGTTCAGTTTGATCTAATTCAGGTTAAGGCCTTTTGTTTGTACACATTAAATATATAGGCTAAAGGGAAGCTTTAGATCTAATGACTTATCATTTATCTCTAAAATAAAAGGGTAGACCACAGCTTGGATATAGGGACTGAAAGGACCCACAATTCTACTGCTATGCTTCAGATTTCAGTGTCCTTCACAAAGACACTCATAAATAACCCCTCTTCCAATAGAATGTAAGTTTTTTGAGGACAAGGATTGTTTTAATTTAATTTTTTTTGTTTTTGTTTTTGCTTCCCTAATGCCTAGCACAACACTAGGCACATAGTAAGCCTTAACAAGGCCATCCAGGTGGCTCCATAGTGCAAAGAGTGCTGGACCCGAAGTCAGGAAGATTCATCTTCCTGAGTTCAAATCTGGCTTCAGATACTTAGTAGTTGTGGGACCCTGGGCAAGTCATTTAACCCTGTTTGCCTTAGTTTCCTCACCTGTAAAATGAGCTGGACAAGGAAAGGGCAAACCACTCCAGTATCTTTGCCAAGAAAACCCCAAATGGGTCACGAAGAGGTGGACACAACTGAAAACAACAAATACCTTAATAAGTGCTTGTTGGTTAACTGATTGAAAGTAGGGTTAGTCCTCCAGGCCACAGGTTCCCCACCTCTGTTACTCTCATCATTGATGAATAAAGATAGACCTTGGAGGAAGTCAAAGAAACCATTTTTTTAAAAAAAATCTCTTCACTGGAGGACAAACTAGAAAGCTTTTACTAGCGTAAGGTAGCACCAAGAGGACAGACGTCACAGCCGGGTGACAGGCCTGCGTTTCATGAAAGGGTAGTTTCTAAGCTCGTTAACCAAGATTTGCTGAGTCACCAGAACTCTCTAAAGCATAGCCTCACTTCCCAAGCATAGGAGTTGACAGAAAGTAACCCAGAACTCCAGATCTGGCTCTAGGGTCTCCACTCCCAAGATATTTCCCCCATTTTCCTTTTGTTACCTCTCAGGCTTATCTACTATAGAGTTTGAGCTTTCTAATACTTAAGTGGAAGGAAAAAAACCCAACCCTGCAAGGCATTTACTTATGAAAACTGCTTTCTTTCCTTGGACTGCGAGGCAGGAGATGGAGAGCTGACAGGGAGGAGACACTGAGGCCAGGCCAGGGACAAGCCTGGGGGTGAAGTTGGCTTGAAATCCATTCTCTCAGAAGAAAGCCTTTAGGCTGTTTTTAGCTGTCAGATCCATTTCCAATATGCAACTTCTCTCTCCTCCCCACCCCAGCCCAAATGTGATTATACTTCTGTAATATGGGTTGTAAATTAGGTTAAATTCATTGTGTGGTGCTGAGGCAGGGTAATTAGAGCCCCAGGAGAGCAGGTGTCGTGGCTTTAAAGTGGTTTCTGGGAATTAGGACAAGCAGCTTTGTGGCTCAGACTCTCCTAGAAAATATATTTTAAAATGTGTTGAGACAAAGTAAATCCATTTTGTTACATAGGCAGCTTCTTAGATGAAATTTGGATCTGGGTTAATTGAGCTGTCCCCTTGCCTCAGGTTGCAAAAACCGAAATTGGGGTTGTTGATAAATGACCACTAGGGGGTACTGTGGTGCAACGTTGAGTTTTAAACCTAGGCTTGCTAAAGTCAATCCTTTTGAGAAAGGCTATAGGGTAAGGATTCTTAACATGTTTTAGTGTCGTGGACTCTTCTAGCTGTCTGTTGAAACTTGGGGACTCCTCAGTATAATGTTTCAAATTTATAAAATGCATAGGATTACAAAGGAGACTAATTAGGTTGAAATATAGTTATTCAAACATATAGAGATCAAGAATGAGGATTGAGAAAAGGCTATTGGATTTGGCAACTAAGAGATCATCAGTAACTTTGGAGACAGCATCTTAGTGGAGTAATAAGGTCTGAAGCCATATTGTAAGGAGTTAAGAATAGAGTGAGAGGAGAGAAAGTGGAGGCACCTATTATAGATGGCCTTTCAAGAAGTTTAGCCACAAAAGGGCAAAAGAGATACCGGACAATAATTAGCAAGGATTTGAAGAGACATGGACATGTTTGCAGGCAGTAGAGAATGAACCACTAGACAGAGAGACTGAAAATAAGTGATGGAACAGGGATGTTAAAAGAGGCAATCTATTAGAAGAGATAGAATGGAATGTGATCACTTGAGCTTGTAGAGGGGGTTAGTTAGCCTTGGTAAGGAGTAAAAGGCCACCTCATCATATGAGACAGAGGTGAAGGAGGAGATAGTGGCAGAAGGAATATGAGTGATATGAGGAGAAGAAGGGAGAAGTTCATAGTAAATGACATCAATTTTTTTCTATAAAATGTGAAGCAAGGTTTTTAGCTGAGAGGGTAGGGGAAAAGAGAAGCATGAGAGGTTTGAAAGGGGATGAAAAGATTTGGAAGAGCCTTTGTAGAGAATGAGTAGATAGGGAAGTTTTATAAAATTGCCTAGCAGCAATGAAGGCCCTGTTGAAGCTGCAAAACATAAATTTGTACTAAATAAAATAGATTTAGAATGACTGCATGATTTTCTCCACCCTCACTCAGCAGTACATGTGTAGGGATGAAGGTGATGTGTGATAGTGGGAGTGATCCAAAGCTGAGGCTTAACAGAGTGCAATCATCGAAACGACAGAGGGTCTAGGGATTCAAGAAAGGAGGACAATGTAGAGTAGAATTGGTTCTCCAAGGGATCAAGATGGAGAAAAGAGGAGAGAATGGTTAGGAGGAGAGATGACCTGGGAGAGAATTAAGGGGTCATAGGATTGGAGGTCATGGTGCAAATGAATACTAGGGTTTTGGAAGGGAAGGGAGAGGGAGAAGTGAAAAACCAATAGATTATGGCTGGATAAGTGGATTTTGGAATTCTTGAACACAGAAGTGGTACATTTGTGGGTGATGGCAAAATCAAGGAAATGACCATCTTTGTGTGTGACTGAGATGGGTAGAGGCATAGGTCATGGGAAGTGAATGGGTTCAAGAACAGAGTGGTTAGGGTGTTTGAGGGAGAGTTAATACATATGTTGAAGTCCCCTAGTATGAAGGTAAAAGTTGATTAGGAGAGAAAAATTGTGAGCCATATATAAATGCATTGAGGAAGGAAGGGGAGTGACCTCAAGGTCTATAGACATCAGCTACCAAGATTTTGATTGGGTGGTAAATATAAATAGCAGAAACTTTAAAGAGGGAGAGGTTCCTGAATAACAGAGGGAGGGAGAGAACCTTGAATTGGTAATGGGGAGCAAGTAGTTTTCTAACTCCCCTGCCTCAACTAGTGAGCCAAAGGGAATAAAAAACGTAACCAGTACTGGAAAGGATGGTCAGGGAGGCTGTGACATCAGGGAAGTTTCAGTAATAGATAATAGATTGAAGGAATAGGAGGGGAAAGATTTAGGATGAAGGGAAGTTTGTTGCCTATGGAACAGGCATTCCAGAGGGCACAGTGGAAGGGGTAGATGGTTGGACCTCTAGGGTAGGAGAGTTGAGGCAGATGGAAATAAGGAATCAGGTGATGGGGATAGAGAATGGGATTTTCAGAATCACTGTGATATATAGGGTATATAAAAATGTTCATCAGTGAGTAAAAGGCGCTACTCCTCTTTCCAAAGGAGGTTGGAAATAACAAGTGTAGTATGAGATGGGAGGCACACAGTCAGATGGTCAGGTAGGTTGTTTCACCAGTTTCTCAAAAGACTCCAAAGGGTATCCTAGGACTCAAGAATAGCATCTACCCTCTCAAATCCCACCATGTATTTGGAGTGCGAGTTAAGGGAACAACCAAAGAGGTGTACCGTACTTCAGGGTGATTAGTATGATTCAAGAAACATTCCCAATAGCATTGCTAGTAGTAAACTAGTCATCCTTTTTAAGGAGTAGGCTTTGTAACGCTATAGAAGAAGCACTGTAAGAAGCCATTTGAAGGCTAGGTGATGTCCTTAGGAGACTCCTTTATCCTTTTAGGTCTTGTGGTACATGCAAGCTACAATGAGTGAAATGAAGTTTCTTGTGGGCTAAAAAGAATTAGTGAAGTTTCTATGCAATTAAACTACATTCAAGAAGTAACTACAATAATCTGCCAGGCCTTCTCTGTTATGGTTCCTTCCCCCTGCTTCTATGCTTATCTATTTGTGGTCTTATCTGTTTCTCTTCCCCACCCCTCACCCCATTTAAATTCCTTCAGTCCAGAGTCTGATCTTGTTTTTTGACCTGTCTTTAGTTCCAGGCACACAGTAGATGCTTAATAAATGCTTTTTGAGTTGGATTAGATTGGAAATAATAATGATCTTTTTAAAAACTTCCTTAAGGAAGGGGGGAAAAGCAATTTCTAAGTTTTATGCTTTTTGTTTTTACTTCTTAGATGGTTGCTACACTTGGGACCACTTCTTGCTGTTCATTTGACAATCTGTTAGAGCTGGGTCCTATTTGTAAGTATTCACCTAATTCTTCCTCATGCTTTGGGAAATGTTTATTTGCTGGGTAAAATAGCATTACTATTTTTAGCTCCAGGTTTTTTACTTCCTTCCAAGGGCTTAAGGAGCTTCACAACTAAATTCACCATTGTTCTAGAATTTAAAAGTTAAAAAGATATATATATGTTTGTATACACACACACACACACACACACACACTGTCCACTGTGCCCAAAGCCTTGTGCTAGGCACTGAAAAAAGAGCATTCTTACCCTCAGAAAACTTACATTCTATTAGAAATAGTGTAGCCTCTATTGTGCTTTTTTTCTAATGTGATCTTTGTGTAGCTTTCCTGAATTTGCAGTATAAACAGTTCAGAAACAACGAACAGTTCAGGAGGTCAGGAGTTCAGAATTGGAGATAATTGGCTGGGCTAGCATTAACCTTTGTATTATTTATGAAGAAAGAATTTAATGCTTTATTAGTGTGCCAAGATTACTAGAAAATGCTTACTCTACTGAAGAGGAAAAAACTATTTCTTAGGGCTTCAAAAGTAAGTGACATTTTCATAAATTAATATTCTTTAGTGCACCAGGCCAGTAGTGGAAGCCACACCCAGTACCTCTATACCTCTTGGGACCTCTTTCCTTCTTTAGCCCAGGCCTAGAAGCTGGCTCACTGGTACCTTCTAATGGATACTTCTGCCACCTCTTCCCCTTATTTTCCTGGTTCTCTTCATTCCTTTCAGGGTAAGACTGCAAGTTCCTCTTGTCTCCATAACCATAGATTTTCTACTTCCTACAAAAAGAAGTTTTTAGGTGTTTAAAAGCTACAAAGCTTTAGGAAACATGCAAGGTGTGTGTGTGTGTGTGTGTGTGTGTGTGTGTGTGTGTGTGTGTGTGTGTAAAATGACAGATTTAAAAGGGTAAATTTTACAAATTACAGATCTTTTTACCACTTCATACTAGTCCCAAGCAGCTAGGTATGATGGACTACATGGTAGCTTTGAAGTCAAAGGACCTAGGTTCAAAAACCAGCTCTGCTACTTGCTGCCTGTATGATCTTAACCTCACTGTAATCTGAGGGAGTTGGACTAAGTGACCTATAAAATCCTTTCCAGATCCATGTCTTTGATCCCACAATCCAAGACTAAGACTGGATCTTATTACTTCTTGGTTCATTAGCTTATTGGAGGGACCCAATCCCTCAGAAAACTGAGGACTACCCAGAGAGATTCAACTTGCTCAAAGTCACACAAATAGGAAGTGGCATCATTTGGATTAGAATTCAGGTCTTCTTATTCTGAATGTAATGCTCTCTCTGCTGCAGTGTACTGCCTCCCTCTTCCTACCTTTCTGACTTCCTTCGAGTTCTTGTTCTTGTTAGGAATTTCAACTACAGGTTGTGAGTTGCCTTATCTGGTAGAAATGGGTTCCTTGTCCCTCAGGTATGTGCATGGGTACCTAGGACGTGGGGTAGGTAACTTTCTTCTGTGGTTCTCCTGGTTCAATTGCTGCATAGGATATCTCACCCTGGACCTGCTGGCCATAAAACTGGAAAGGTTCTCCCACAGCGCTTGGCTACCTAACAAGAATGGAACTTCTCTATTGGGCCTTCAAGTTTTCTCTTCCTTGGGCTTCAAGCCTTATGCTTCCTTTATCATTGCTTTGGAAATAGTTCTAGCAGCCTGAGAATTTATTTTTATTACCTTATCTCTGTCTTCTCCATTCCTTGTAACAATGCTACTAATTGGCTCTTGAGATCTTCATTTCCCCCAGTGCCTAAAACAGGTGTTAGACCCTGTGGCCCAGAGCTGTGAGGATAGGCCTCTGTCATCCTCTGGACTTTTCTCTTGGACTTACCTTCTCTTTTCACTCTTGCCTAGTGGCCTACTCCTAGCTCTTTCCTTTCTCATTGGTCAACCTTTCAAGTATACCCTGGGGCCAATGGAGAATTTATTTTATTTGCTTTCAGCCACTATTTTCAATCACTTTCTAATCTCTAGGTACTGAATAGTTGCTTCTACTACACTACTTGCCCTTGAAAATTAGATTCATAGACTACATATCTTTTTAACTAGAATTATAATTTTCTTCTTACAGTATATATATTAGCTCAACATACTATTGCCTTCTCCCATGTCTACAATAATCAATTTCCTATATGTATATATGTGTGTGTGTATACATATACATACATACATACATATATATATATATATATCTATATATATATCTATATCTCCTAATTATGGAGTGGTCTATTCATGAATAAAGATTTCCTTCTTAGGATCTGTACTTTGTTAGCCTGGTTGGAGTTTACAGTATATATCTCAAGGTAGTAATACTTAATTTCTTTAAAGACAGTTTGTGATTCCAACTTCTTGCTCATTCAGACTGACCTTCCCTCTTAATTACTCCTAATCTTGTAGATTTTTCAGTCTGTGGACAAAGTATCTTTCCTTTCCCTTAGTACATCCAACTGAAGAATCAGGTGGCCCTATACTTCTAAAATTTCATTTCGGGCCTGAGCTGTTGGAACCCCAGACACCATGGAAATAGTTTTATGGATAGAGAACATTCCTCTAGAGTGGGCCAAGTCTGGCCTCAAATGAAGGCCAAGAAACTGTGTTTCCCAGTATGGACGAAGCCCAATTTGGCACCAACTTTTAGGAGCTCTTGCTAGAGAAGGCATAAGGCATGAAACTTTTCCTAGACAACTTGTGTCTGGCCAGTCTATTAGGGAAGAATGTTAAATGAGTGACAGTTGGCTACTGGTTAAGGTGAGACCACCCAAATGGGCATTCTCAGTGCTCCCAACCATGTACCTCTTCCTACAATATCTAACTAGGGGGGTGGGTTCTCTCATATCCAGGGTTTGATTCTATGTGTTTACACAGTTTTTAAGACGAGGAGCTGGGGAGTCAACAGCTGCTACCACTTATGGGACTTCCCATCCAGAGACGACGTTAATCAGCCGCCTCTTCCCCAGCCTGACTTCTGTACATCTTTGATCGTTGTTCTTCTTGTTTTTCCCGAAGCAAGGATAGGGTTGAGTTGACCCATTTCCATCCACATTCACTCCACCCCCCATGTGACTGGCAACATTCACTTGTGAGAACAGCTGGCCTGGCCGAAGGGTCCCTGGTCACAGAATGGAGTGAGGCTAACTGGCCCAGAGGGGGAGAGAAGCCACGACTTTGGCCTCATTAGTGCAGAGCTCTAATCAAATGCAGTAAACAACCCACGTTCTTCATTTCAGTCAAATGCTGGGCTGGTCTCCCAAAGGAACTGAATGTCCTGGCCCTCAGCCTGCTTATATAACTCCCTACAGCTATCATATTCAGAGAATGACTGAGGGCTCCAGTGGGGCTAAGTCCACTGGGCCCCTCTTGGGACCTCTGCACAGGTGTTCCGGTCTTGCTTCACAGGACATGTGCCAGCCTGAAAGCACCAGGGGGGTCAGACTGAGTCCAGGTCATCACTTTGATGTAGCATTTAATTACTTTTAAATGTTTTCTTGAAGGCAGCTAGAAACTGATGTGTAATTTGTGTGGCACCGTAAAGGGACATCCATAGTGGAGATACAGCATTGCACACTGGGGAGAAAAAACCCTTCATTTACTTATTTTTGAGCTGGAAAAGCTGGGTTTGAATCCCTGCTCTGTCACTTGTCTGTGCACAGTCGCAATTTTGGACGAGTAACTTTACCTCTCTTTCTTGGCCGCAGTCTCTTTCTCTGAAAAATGAGAGGATATGATCAGATCGTTTCCAAAGTCACTCCCAGCTCTAAATCCACGATCTGAGAATATTTCATCAGTCTGGGCCTCAGTTTTCTCTTCTTTAAGATGTGGAAGTGGAACTAGAATGCTTTCCTTCCCTTCAGTGCTAACTTCCTACACTCACTGGGCCTCAGTTTCCTCCACTATAAAATGAGGGCAGGGGACTCAGTGACCTCTGAGGTCTCTTCCAGCTCCAAATCTTTGACCCTATGATTTGACATCGGATAAACTCTAAACTCTGTTTATCTGTTGCAGAAATTTTTAAAGTGAGTATTGTTTTGGCTAAAAATAATGAATAAGCACTCATCGCTGAGCGTTTTCCAAGTTCAAACTGCATCTTTTTTTTTAGTGTCCAAGGCTAATGTCCCACAGCATCAGTAGGCTAAAAACAACTTACATTTATGTGGCCCTATGCCTGACAAAGGACTTTAACATGCATACACTTATTTAGTCTCTGAAGAGGTCCTGTTGAGGTAGGTGTGAAATATTAGCATCCCCATTTTTTTTTTGTTGCTTTTTGGTAAGGCGAATGGGATTGAGTGAATTGCCCAGGGTCACACAGATAGTATGTGTTAAGTGTCTGAGGCTGGATTTGAACTCAGGTTCTCCTGACTCCAAGGCCAGAGCTCTATTCACTGCTCCACCTAGCTGTAGCATCCCCATTTTACAGATATTCAAAGTGAGGTTCCTCATCAATGTGACTTGTTGAAGGTTTCACAGGAAATAAGTGATAGAGCTAGTTCTCAAATCCGGGTCTTCTGACTTCAAGTCCTATGGTTTTTCTCCACTACCCTGTTCTTCCTCTTGGTGAAAAACTGTTGTGATGAAAAGTGATGATTCACTAGCCAGACAGAGAACAAATCTGAACATAGTTTTCTGAAAACTGCTGTTTTAGAAATTGTTTCATTTAAAATTCCATGTTATTATTGTTCTTCAGAGACCTTTTCAGTTGGTCTGCTTACACAAGTTAATTTCCTGGCAGTTCCAATTCAGAAAAAAGATCACAAGTAGGAAAAATGGATGACTACAATCAAACTTGAGGCATGTTTTGAGAATAGCCCAGATGAAGGCAGATCAATGCTAAGACTGGAGGGACAGCAGCTTGCAGAAACATCAGGTGTGGAAGAGGGCAAAACCGAGGCCAGAACAAGGGCAAAGAACTGGTCAGTTCTGGGGAAGGATAAGGAAGCTGGTGGCTGAGGCTATTCCAAAGGTCAGAACTATTTGATCAGTC